GGAGTTATTTCATGATCTTTGTTGGTGTTTTTGCAAATAGAAGAGGACCAAGACAGGAGGAGGCTGAAGAGGGTGCTAATCTAGTGATTCCAAAGCTCAGAGACTTCATTTTGAGGTATTCATTCGAACCCTCCTTCAGTTTATGATGTGATTCTTAGAGTTAGGGCTTTTTAGCCCCATTAGAGGATGGTTATATGGGGTAATTGGTCCCTTCTTGTGTTGGTGCTGTAGACCTAGACCCAAAGAGGTCTAGAGATCCTTTCCCCTTGAGCTTTATGGGTATTAATGGAGGTTATGAACTTAGGGTGTCACTTTAGAGGCCATATATTCAAATAAGGCTTTTCAGCCTTTGCATGTGCACCAAGATGTTAGATTTACGTGATTATAATGCCTTGGGAAGCTGGATCAATGGTTTAGAGGAGCGGATCTGACCTCAAGAGGTCAGTTCAGCTTGAGCATGGCATGGACTCACCGAGTCCTTTAGCCAACTCGATGAGTAGGACGAGGGTTTTCCCGATAATCACACAGTTGGTGACTCACTGAGTTGGGTAAGTGACTTGGTGAGTCAGAGGGAATCTAGAGGACAGAGTGCACGATGGTACTCGCCGAGTCAGGAGCCGGACTCGGCGAGTTGGGTCAGGACATTTCACAGATTGTGATCAGTGATGATTTGCAGAGTTGAGGTTAACTCAGTGAGTTGAATGAAGACTAGGAGAGTGAAGAGCATGTGTGGACTCGCCGAGTCACAGTTGCACACTCGGTGAGTTTATTCAAGGTTGACCGTTGACTTTGTTGACTTTTAGGGTTAGTCAATGTTTGGACCTTAGAGTCATAGGAAGGGTAGGATAGTCTTTTACCCTTCCTAGTGGATGTATTGAGAGGAAGAGATTTGCCTAGCCCTGAGGGTTGTATTAATTAGGGTATTTATTTCATGTGATTAGGCAGAGGCTAGACCAGAGTTACCGAGTCAGAGATTTACTGAGACATCCGAGGTGAGTCTTCTCACTATACTTTACCTTGATTAGGTAAATAGAGTTATGTGATACAGTGTTATATATATATTGTTTGTGGCACTGCATTCTTCTATGTGATTTATGTTGTGCATGCTTGCAGAGTTAGAACCTGAGGGTTAACAGAGTTTGGGTGTACGGACCCACAGAGTTATAGCCTCGAGTGGCTAATATGTGGTATTTTGGGGAACTCACTAAGCTTTGTGCTTATAGTGTTTTGTGTTATGTGTTTCAGGTACTAGTGAGGATCGCGGAAAGGCGTCGGCTTGATCAGTACACACATGGGATTTTTATGCTATGAGATCTTGGGATTGATATATGTTATTAATTGAGTTTCAAACAATGATGTTTTTATGAATAATAAATGAATTATGTTTTTATAAAATGCGAAAAATTGTTTTGGAAATTTACGTTGTTACACATTTGACAGTTTATGCCCCTTTATTCAATTAATCTCTTTAAGTCACCAAATTAATTCCTAATTAATTTATGACTTATATTAATCAAATAATATTATTATTCCTTTAACATGTTATTCTTATAATACTTTAATAATAATATCTCTTCTCTCTATATAAATCACCCTGTCAAGTTGCTATGGTGAAGGCAACCCAAAAGGACCATGCACAACCGGGTCAAGTATTTACCAAATATAGTTACAGCCTTAGACACTAATACAATAGTGCTTAGATATGGAAACACTGATCCTTAATTGGGCATTTATAAAATCCATTTTCAAGTATGGTGTGAGTTGTGCAAAAGCATTATGTAGTCAAGATGAGATTTGTTCCTCTTATATGTTGAGAGTTGGACATCTACTGCGGCACCTAAATTTGAATACCAAATGACATTGATTGCGATCCAAATCTCATGTCCAACATGATGTATGTAGCAAAGGGATAATTGATAAACTTACCTTATACATCAATTGAAGTTTTGAGCTTTTGGGAATTGGATGTTGATGAATGAAATTCTTGGTTGTATGTTATTAGGGGCAGAGAAATGTTGCTAGATGTTGACCGCTGTCTATATCAATTTATTATGAATCATATACAAGTGGTGAGATTGGAAGATCTTGTATGCCCAAGAGTCATTATAGAATGATATTCTTAATACCATATGATCCTATAGGGTCATACCTTATAGCAGGTTACTACCAATTGATTATTTATTAGAGTAATTTTGATTATTAATAAATATCAACACTTGTATGTAATTGGAAAAACATTATTTTATGAAATTTATATTTTCCAACATATTGGAAATTATTATTGGTAGGAAATAATAATAAAAGAGAACAAAAACTAGCTTAACATCATATGGTATGATTATTAATGTTGTGTACAACTTTTTGGTCACTCAGAGTAACCAGTTGGTTACATCTCAAACTAGCTATTTACATAAATTAAAATGCAATTGATTTTTATCTTATTTCTTCATAATGGTTGAAAATCAATAGGTCATGGTGTTGGATTGCTTTTGATTAGTTTAATGTCTCACACCATGCTTGTAAGATAAAGCCTTACCTTCGACTTTATTGTCTTGAATTTTATCTATGCTTTTGCACATATAACAAGAAAAATTGATGATGAAATGGTTGGTTCTTTAGTGCATGAAAAACCTCTCTTTTGGCTGCCATATTACCGAGAATATCAAGCCATTCCCTCTCTTCTTCCTTCTTCCAAATGATGTTAGAAATGAATACTAATAAGTTGTTTTCTATTAAGGCTTATTTGGATGTGTCTTAATAGCTTAAAATTAACTTACTAACAAGTGTTTACTAGCATATTTTGATGGTTGTAGATACATTATAGCGAACTTCTAGTTAAAGCCATCTTCATCAACTTCCTAATTGCCAAAAGGAACCAAGGTTATACTTTCTTCTTCTTTGTGTATTTTTAATCTTTCTAAGTTCTTGCAAAATGATCATTGGTGGGTTAAAATAATCTTAGTTTACTTAAAGTAAAATTGTTTCCGTTGTAAACTCGTAGCTTTGACTATTTATTTTATACTATTTTTGAATAAAAACCCAACAGTGTATTTTACCCTTCAAGTAAAACGGGCGGAGCTCTTTTTCTCAGTGACTTATCCCACAATTTGCGTTAGTGTAGGTTTACCACCATTGTCACTCTAAGAAGAAGAAAACACCAACAATTAAAACCAAAAAACCTTTAGATGGTCATGCCACTTTGTCATCGAACTCGCCCCTTTTTCTTTCTGGTAAGACCAAAACAAAACTAAAATACAATTGATTGTGTGTTGTGTTCATTGGAGATACTTACGGACTAAGATGAGAGTTGTCTGTTGTCGTCGAGGCCATCAGTGGAGATGACGAGATGGAAAGAGTAGAGAAATAAATGATAAAATAAGAAGAGGGAGCACAGAAAGGAATGGATCAAAGATGATTAAGGGCATTTTGGTAAATCAAGTATGGGCTTTATCTGTTTTTCTATAGACTTGTTAATTCGAGAAACAAATATAAGAATTTGTGTGACACGATACGATACGGATACATTTTGAAAAGTGAGATAAAACTTATTTCTCTTCGTGTTTGACATGTGAAAATGACGTGAATACACAAATTTCTTTAGTATGAAAAGGCGTGGCGTAAATAATTACAACGTTTTGGTGATTAATTTCGAAAGCACCATTGTTTGAGAAAATGGCAAAAAAAAAAAAAAAAAAAAAAAAAAACTCTCGCTTTTGCTTCGATGTTTCTCATTTGTGAAGATATTTGAACTTGAATGTATAGAAGATAAAGTCCTCTTTTTATATTTTATAATGACATGTAAGCCCACAAACGGAAGCCCAAATGAGATCCTAGTAGGGAGTTTTCTCATCGATTGAAAAAGCTAAATATGTCAAGAAAAACAACTTCAAAAAGTAGAATAATAATTTTATTCCAAAATCTTCATTAATTAATTTTTATTGTTTGAAAAAGTTAAATACGTAAAAAAAACAACTTTTAAACAAGTAGAATAATAATTGAGATTTTCTAATATGTGCTCTAAGAGCACATATAAGAAATATTAATTAATCACAATTATTATGATAATCAAATGTGAAATGCATTAATTATAGAGATTATTAATTAATCTTATATTTAATTATAGTAATATTTCTTATAATTAATGTGTTTAATATTTAATTAAGTTATAACTATGATTAATTAATACTTTTTATATGTGCCTTAGCCCTTAGGTAGATATTAGAAAATCTCATAATAATTTTATTTAAAATTCTTCATTTATTAATTTTTATTGTTTGATGAATAATTATTTATTCTAAATTCTTTTTTGAGCGGCCATGGCCATGTTATGTTAGTATTTCCTCGTTAGAAACTCTTATTTAAAAACCTTGTTAGCCGAATACACTTGCTATTTTTTAAATAATAAGTTAATTTTTTAAAAATAAATTCAAACTAGTTTATCAAAAAACAAACTTATAAGCTATAATATAGTTTGTAAACAATCTACTTTCACCAAACAAAACCTTCACAACAAATTGATCTTTTGTTTTTATTTACAATTAAAATCAAACATATTCCACTATCCACCACAATTTTATTCACAAACACCTAAATTTTAATCATAATTACTTCCTACATATCTCTTTTGTTTACAATCAAAATCAAAATCAAAATCAAACAAATTTCAATATCCGGAATACCGAAACCTTCATTTCTACACCTCTAGATTAAAGATATTGGCTTATAGATAGCGGGGTTTAGGTGATGTAAATTTATGATGGAACATAAGATTAAACTGATTTCTTGACTAAATGAAATAAATACTTTGATTCAATGTTTTCTCATTTCTATTTCAACTTAAACTTATCGAAGATAATATCCTAATTTTTTCCGTTGATGACAAGTTGACCTCACAAGCCAACAAACGGAGGCCCAAATAAGGGAACTTTCCCATCGTTCTAAAACAAGTCTAATACGTCAAAAAAAAAAAAAAAAAAAAAAAAAAAAAAAAAAAAAAAAAACCTTTTAAACAAGGAGAATAATAATCTTATTCCAAAGTCTCCATTTATTAACTTCCATAAACACAAAAAGCACCTCTTCCACTACTTTGGTATCCATAACCAAAATCCCAACACAACACATATTTATCCTAAACAAAGCAAGAGGCCTTCTTTCCCCAAATATCTTCACTATTTACACTTTTTCCCCTTCATTTTCCCCTCTAATTTAACTTCACAATCGATCCCGCATCAGATTTAAAACTCCTCTCACTATCTTCAAACCCTTGTCCAACATAACCCTTCATCCTCCTCTTCAACTCCTTCCTGTAAAAACACAAACACAAGTACACAACAATCAAAATCATCACCCAATTACATAACATCCACGTACTTCGAAAACCCATAAAATCCCACTTACATCATCAATTGTCTATCAAGATTCGAAGAAGACAACAACCCTTTATTCTCTTCTGCTCTTCGAAGAAGATAAGGCATGATTTGATCAACTGGCCCAAATGGTAAATACTTGCTTACACCAAATCCAGCGTTTCGCAACCCAAATGTCATCGCTTCTGCCATTCCATAAAGTGAAGCAAACTCAAGCTTCTCACTATCTTTCCCAATTCCCAAATTTCTCGCCTTTTGTGCAGCTAATTTTCCTGTTTAATTTCGATAAAAAATGAAAAAAGTTAGTTTGAATTCGTATTGTAACAGAGATCTTGAATGTCGTCTCAAGAAATACCTCGGATTTCGAATAGTTTTCAACCATCGGTTTTCAAGAACCAATACAAGTACAACAATCCTGATTCACAATACATTTTTTTATCAAAATTTATGCACTTCGTTTATCTTTTCGATACGTTGGAAATACGAATTCAAGACACAAATCGTGGAAATGATTCAAAACAACAATACCCAGACGAAAAAAACTCAAAAAGATTCAATCTTTTACCTGATTCAAGATTATGGGTAGCGAGAATGAGTCCACCGGGTCCATTTGAGACTTCATCAAGCATAAACGAAGCACAATCGTTGTAACAATTGTGTGTATCGATGATGCTATTATGAATCGGAGATTCAACGTTTAAAGAATTAGCCAATTGGGCTTCACTCGACATGTAAGCGCCTCTAACTAACTTGAATCCGACTGGTAATCCCATCTGATCGGCGGCTTTCTTGGTGGCGTACAGCCGTTCGCCGGCGTCTTTCAGGTAAGCTTGGATTGTGCCGAAGATTAAGGGCTTTTCGCCATTGTTGTACATGACAGCGGCTGAGTATGTAAAGTAATCGATTCCTGGTTGGATTGAAGTGTCTTCAGCATCGATTACTACTGGAACTTTGGATTCGATGCTTTTGTTGCAGATTTTTACGAGTCTTTGATGGGCTAATTCGAGATCGTGTTCTTCTTCGGGTGTTAATGGTGATGGTTTTTCTAAAGTATGGTAAAATGGGCTTGATTCGGAAAAGATCGGAAGGGTTTTAAGCTTCCATGGCAGATTCGTCGATGAAGAATTCTTGTATTCCCATCGAAGAAGATCACTCACCCTTTTAAGTAAAGAAATTGGACAAATCGCAGTGATCTTCACAACCACGAAGCTAACCTGTTTTCAAAAAAAAAAAAAAAAAAAAAAAAAGATTAATTTTACAAAGATTCACTGTTTCAAAGAATCAAAATCATTTCGTGGTACGAATCGTACATGGGTTTATTAAAATCAAGAAATGGAAAAAGGGAATCTTGAATTGAGAAAATATAAAAAGAGAATCAGAATAAAATATTTGAAAAATTCATGGAAATGTAAAAACAACTTACAGAAGAAGGAGGTAAAGATTGTGTTGATTCAACAGTTTTGATGAATTCTTGAGTGTTTATATCACACGATTCATTATCAATCGCATGTTCTAAACCATAATCCAACATCCCCCTCAACCCGGATTCCCAAAGCTTCTTGACAGTCCGACCCGTTTCTTCCGTATCCGCTCCGGCAACAAAATGTTCATACGACGTATGTTTAATGACACCCAAAACAATCTCTCTAAACAAACCCACTTGCATGAGCCTAGACTTCATAACCCAAACACCCATATCCACCACCGGCTCCACCGCCGCCAGGTTCAGGTTCGCCGCCGACCGGAGAAGTTTCCCGGTTGTAACGGATGAGAACAAACCTTTCGTATCCTCGAAATCGAATATGGCGTCACGAGAATGGTCGGGGACGACGGTGGACGTCGGTGGTGTTGGTGGCGGAGTTGGGAAGATTGTTGTTGCCGTTGTGTTGATGGTTGTTCTTTGTGCAGAACGGAATCTTGGTGTGGTGAGGGTGGTGGCAGGGGATGACTTCACACGGTGGACAAATGATCGGATCAATTTTGAAGAGGAGCCATTGGTGGTCATGGCCATCAATGGTCGACGGTGATTGGTGGTTGTGGTGGTGGCGACGAAAGATGGTTGACGAAGAAGATGTTGAAAAACAACGGTGGTGCTAAAATGCTAATTTTTAGGGTGTAATAAGAAAACAGTTTTTTTTTGTGAGGATGACTTGAAACATAGCATGGTATATATAGGAAAAAATATGTAAATTTGGGTTGGATCCGAAATCCGACCCGTTTCACGTACGTTTCGGGTTTTTTGTGGAAATTGATATATCCATATTTGGATGGAGTAAATTTTGGAAAAGTAGAAAAATCCGTATTTTGGTATGGTGTGGTGGGGCCCATGGGATTTGGTGTGGACCAGGGGTAAAAATGTCATTAAAGGAAGTGCTAAAGTCACGGGGTTGAGACCGGAGATTCTGTTTCGACAAAGTAGTCGGCACCGCCAAAGTAGAAAGATTCCGTGCCGGAAAGTTTCATGGAATATACTCCTCAGATTCTTCATAATGATTTAAACAAAATAAAAATAAAAATGTATTTAAATCAACTTTATAAATTCATATTTTTAAAAAAAAAAAAAATTAATGTAGTGTAATTTAATCGATCTTAATTGATTTATATATTATAGTTTTTTATATATAGAATCATTTATAAGTTGTAAACTTTTATTACATAAAATTTTCAAATATAAAATATAAATTATTATTTATAAAAGAATTATTGAGTACAGATTAATTATTTTCTTATAAATATACTACAAAATATGAAATAAATTTTTGCTATTTTATTAAATCAAAATATATAATATGTTTTGAAGTAGTTAATGTGAGTATGTTACAAAATTAATGTTTTAAACTAACGCTATGTCTGTTCCAGTTTAGTTAAATTTTATAAAGTGTTCCACATAATATAATTTCTATAGGGAAATGATTCGTACACAACAGGTTTTTGTCATACACAATAATTGATGCATTATATAGTTGTATAATATAACATTTTAAAACACTAATTGTTGCGTATGTAGAACAATTGTTATGTACGGATCAATTTCCTTTTCTATATAAGATTATTGTATTGTTTTATTTATTCTAATTGTTTAAATGATATGATTATATGAGTGTTAAAATTTAAATTTTACATATTTTGTTTAATTAAATCTGGATGTGTTAAAACAAGACGAATATTTTAATATTTTGAGAAAAATTTGCCTATATTTTTGAATATTTTTTATAAAACTTCAAATTATAGTATACTTTTATAAAACTTATAAACTCACGTATATAACCAAATACTTAATTTAATCATAATTAATCTATTTAAAATTTACAAAAGTTATCTTTAAATTGATTTTTTATTATTAAAAAACTAATTGACTTATAACATTACAATACATTCTCCCATATTACTATTCTCACCCTATTTACTTAATGAATCTTTATAAAATATAGAGACTCACATTGAAGTTAGTTTTTATTCTCACCCTATTTACTTAATGAATCTTTATAAAATATAGAGACTCACATTGAAGTTAGTTTTTTCAAGAACTTATACCTGAAGAACCAGAGGAAGAAAAAAAATATTTAAAGGTGAATAATCATAGTTCTCTTAAATTAATTATAGGAGATGAAATATATTGTTTAGCCATTGATTGAAATATGTAATTATCAGGTTTTGCTATTCGACTATGCAGTAATACAAAATATTAAGCGACAAAGAATCAGGTTATGAATAATCATATTGTGAATATGAAGACCGATTACGAGAAACATTGTAAATGAATATTTTAGTAATTTAGTTAAAATCTAGTTTAAAGAAGATGTTTTAACTTTTAAATATGTTAATTATCATTAAATTAAGTATATATATATATATATATATATATATATATATATATATATATATATATATGTATGTGTGTGTGTGATTTTATAAGTTTTATAAGGATATATATTAATTTGAAGTTTTATAAGGATATGAATATAATTATAAAAGTTTATAAGAATATAAACGAACTTTTCCATAATATTTTTATATTTTTTCATAGAAAATATAGTGTATATTTTTTAGAAAGAAAATCAACTTATTAAATATATGAATCTGCATATGTTTTAATATGGTATATTTTATTAATAACCCGATAAATAAATTAGAAAGCGTTAGAAAGCGCATTAAAAACGAGGATAATGATATATTATTTAATTTGGTATCAATTTATTTAATTTGACATCTAGTTATTTAATTTGTTATGAGTCTTGTTCTATATTTAAAATAAATATATTTAAGTGAAGCAAAAAGCTAAAATAAAATACGGAAGAATCCGGAATCTGTTGATAAAGGGCAGGTAAAGTGGACAACTCAGGAAGACTGTGGGTCCGGTTTCTTCACGCATGGTACCACAAGTCCATTTTTGTCAATTTCTGTATAGAAATTAAATAACTCCAATATTTTCTTTCTTTTTTTTTTAAATGAAAAATATAATAAAAATTTATCAAACTTGTATAGCTTTATTGATACATTTTTCAATACATATATAGATTAAACCAAAAAATACAATTATTAATTAGCCGAAAATAACTTTACAACTAACTAATAAGAACTTTTGTTAAAATTGATCGTTCAATACTAATCATTAATCTTTTCTTTGAAAATCTTGTTTAGAAATATGAACTTTTGTTATAATCGGTCGATCAATCCTAATCATCTACCCTTTCTTTTAAAAATCTTATCTCATAATTGACTAGTTCACCAATTGACTAATCTAATATAATAAATGAAAATAATTTTGTCTTAATTTTTAATTAGTTTTGACATTTGTTATTTTGTGATATTTTTTAAATAAATAATATTCACATGTCAATTTATGGTTTTTTTCAATTTTTAAAATTAAAAAACCACATACTACTTATATATATGTAAACTATCAAATCTAATAAATATTATACTAAATTGCAATTAATATGTTTCTTATTTCAAAATTTCATTCTTTATATCAAATTTCTATTTTTAAAAATACTTAATATTTACATTTTAATATTTTATTTATTTTAATTGACCCGTATAATACACGGGTTTTACAGCTAGTAATAAATATGACGATAATCCAAATCAGAAAAATATGGTCAGTATTGTAAATTATATTATGAGAAAGAAAATTGTTCGAGTATCTCGACAAAAACGGGTTCAAAACTACAATACAAAGAAACAACAGTTGAGACTGAGTCGTGCATTAGTGAACATAATTTCGCTAAAATAATGTTTCACGATTTAACTTGAACTATTTTCATGAATTTAATGCGCTCCTCAATGTTTTTGTTTTATTATAAAAATAGCTACTTTGCTAATTCACAAGGCTATTTTCGTAATCTAAATATATTTCTTTATCAAAGGATAAAACATTGTTATCTCGTTATAACCAACTTTATTTTTTTTAGTGATTAACTTCTTTATTAATAAAAGTCATCTCATATAAAAAATTCAATAAAATTTTATCTAATTATTAAAAAGAATTATATTATTTTTTACTAAGTTAATATCATTATATTTTTAGAAAATGTCTATTTTAAAGTTTTGAGACGGACAAAATCCAAACACCCATAAATATTATGTCTTTTCTAAAGTCATAAATCATTAAATTAAACTTTCAGAAAAATATAAAAAACTTTAATGCATTAAAAAGATACTATATTAAGTTTTAAAATTAAACAAAAAGACATTATCTTTTTCTAAAATGTAAAATATTTAATTACATTTAATATAATAATAGGTTTTCCTATAAAAAAAATCGTTAGAAAAACAATTCTTTCATAACATAAACAATACTCCTAAATATTAACAAAAATATGTTACCATTACATAATAGATTTGAATAAAATAATGATTCTAATTTGTTGATACTTACATAAACAACATATCAATTAGGAAATAACTAATTAGGATATAACTAAAATTAACAGATTTTTTTAAAAAAATATTTAATATTCTGTTTTCCAAAAGTATGACAAATAAGGTTGGTAAAGGACTACAGGCCAGGGAGTGAGCTGGAACATTTAAAGATTCTCGGTTGTCAAACACTCACCTATACAGCATTTAAGGTAATGCCTCGTCAAAGTCAAATCTGATGTCCATATGATGTGGAGTCCGTATCCCTATTTGGATTCATTCCATCGTACGGTTCTCCTTTCTTCCTCTACCTACACCCTCCCGCATGTTATCCTCTCCTCTAGAACTTATTTATTATTTATTGGAGTATTTATTATTTAATGTAACGAAAGGAGAAAATCGTAATATTTAACTTTATAGTTTACACGATACATGTTAATGAAAATAGGTCACACGTGTTGTAGAGTTTTATACGTGTTTTTTGATAGGTATAAGGTGTATATGACCGAGATCTTACGTGTGATAGGTTGTAAAACTAGGTGTTATCCAATGGAGTTTTTTGGAATTGGTTTTTTTTTTATTTAAAATTATTGTATTTTATGTGAATTAACTAATTTTTTTAATGGCAAATCATTTTTTTTTTTGGTATAAGCAAAGTTGTTAAGATCAATATCATATGTAGGATTATTTTTTGGTTTGCAAGATCGGAATTTTAAAATTCCACGAAATATGTTAATTTATAGTTTTAAAACATTAAAAATATTTGAAACATTTAATTTTTTGTATAGAAGTTATAAAAACTTCAAAATATTAGTCATAAGTCACAACACAAAATGATAAACGTTAAGTTGGTAAAAAGTAAAAGACATAAAATAGTAAAATTATACGATTGTATAATTCTATCTCAATACGATCTGGTTCGTTTTTCATACCTATGATGATAAGATCGTACGATCATACAATCAGGATCGCGATTTTAACAACCATGATTATAAGAATCAAGTTTAATTAAATATGAAATGTATTTTAGATATGTCAAAAAAATGTATATAAAAAATCGATTTTTGTATGTTTTATTAAATTTTAAATGTATAAAAATAAATATATAAAAAACTCAAAGGTAGGATAAAATTTACAATTTTTGTGTTGGAAATTGGAATAACAAGCGCAATCGTCTTATTTTTTTTTTCCTCCAAATATATTCACAATTTTATATCATAATGAGCAAATGTTTTGTTTTTTAACAATCAAATACAAATATTTGTAAT